ACCCAAGAAAGAGGGTGGCCTCCGAATGTGCATTGACTATCGCACCCTTAATCGGGTTACGATAAAGTCTCTCTACCCAATCCCGTGTGCGGACAAATTGATTGACCAGCTGCTAGGCGCTCGATATTTTTCGAAGACCGACCTTCGCGGCGGTAACCACCAAATTCAAGCCTTCGCCGATGATTGCCACAAGACCACGTCTTGTACTCGCTACGAGAGTTACGAATACACTGTTCGGGTTAACCAATGCCCCCTCGACATTCCAGCCGACGATGAACGGGGTATTCCGAGAACTACTAGAAAAATATGTGAGCATTTATCTTGATGATATCCTGATTTACACCACGACACGGGAGCAATAACCTGGAAGCGGTTTTTCAGCGCCTGCAGTAGAATCGCCTCATCACCAAAGGCTCCAAGTGCGAGTTGAACCCCGCTAGCCCCGTCGAACCCTGCTGGCCCCATCAAACCCCGCTGGCTCCGTGCGTCCTACTGGTCTCGTGCGCCTCGCTCGCCCCCTGCTCTCCGCTGGCCCCATCGCGCCCCAGCTAGCCCCGTATGCGCCACCGGCCCCGTGCGCCCTCGTTGGCCCCGTTTCCCTCGCTGGCCCTGTGCGCTCCGCCGATCCCCCAGCGCCAACGGCCCCTGCTCTGCCGGCCACAGCTCGCCCCGGCCTCGCACTGTCCAGCCGCCGCAGTGCCGTCGAGCCGCCGTGTCGATGTGCTGCCGCGTCGCTCTGCCGCCACCAACCCACCGGCCTTGACTCCCTTCTGAGCAGGCGCACATGCCGGCTGTCTCCACTGCTCTCCGCCACACTCCACCGCACTCCACCGCTCTCCCCTACACTCCACCGCACTCCACTGCATTCCACCGTTCTCCACCGCTCTCCATCGCACTCTACCGCCATCCACCGCTCTCCACTGTTTTCCTTCGCCTTTCCTCCTCTTCCTGTCAATGGCATTCAGCTGCTGTAGTCGTGGGGATGGCAGACTCCCAGCTTCGCCTGGACGCCGAGGGTCAGGCGATAGACTTCGCGGCGTGGCTCGTCGACCTCCGACGTCACCTTACAGGTCAGCGCCAGGACTGTCATTCTCTGGCTGTTCATGTCGATGGCCTGCTTCCCCGCCCCGCTGCACCTGTTGGCCTCCCTGCTGCCCCCACCACAGTACCAGCTTCAGACCGGCCCCCGCCACGGCACCTTCTGCTCCCGGCCCGGCCACACCACTGACGGCTGCTACGGCCGCCTGGACGACCATTTCTGCCGCCCCTTTGGTCCCAAGTCGGACCCTTCTCACTGGTACGCCCTGGCTCACCGCCGTGTGCCGATTTTTTAGCTTGACATGGATCAAATTAGGGCTGCTATGTTTGTCATGTATGCTGATGACTCTAGTGTGATTGGACCCTATTACTCGGTGTTGCCTAGCGTAGGTGTGTCCACTGTGCGTAGTCTAGGCTCCTCTGCTGCGTCAGGCGTAGGACCATCTGCCTTGTTTAGCCTAGGCTCTACGTTAGCCCCTCCGCCAGCTGACGCTATTGCGTCGCTCTCCTTTACGCTCGACTCTGGTGTGTCTACCTGCTTCTTTCGCGACCATGCTGCGCTCACCCCGCTTGCTGCCCCCACCGCTGACGCACTTGCTGACCCTTCCTCAGGTCCGGTAGTAGCCCGTAGCTCCACTACCCTCCCCGGTCCGGCAGTCCCCTCAGATTCTCTTACAGGCCTACGCATCCCCTCATTCTCTAGGAACCTAGTTGGTGTCGGCTGTCTTCAGGACCTCGGCGTCACCACTACTTTCCCCAGACATGAGCGGTACGCGGTCTGTACCGAGGCTGCCACTGGCGCCCCTTTGACCACGTTCCCCCGGGACCCGATGTCCGGCCTGTTTACGCTTGACGATGCGTCCCCCCAATTGAGGGCGTCCCCCCAAGGGCCTGCGGCGATTCAGGTCGCCGCGGCTTGCTTGTGTCGATCGCTTACTCACCCGTCACTGCTGTGGCACAACTGCCTAGGTCACCCAGCACTCCCGCGTCTGCGTCACATGTCCCAGCATGGTCTTGTCTTTGGTCACCCTTCATCGCTTCCTGCCCTTCCTCCCTCGCCTGCGCCACCGTGCACGCCCTGCGTCGAGGGCCGGCTGCGCCGTGCTCCTCACTCCTCCTCGCTTTGCCCTACCACTGCGCCACTCCAGACCGAGCACCTGGACGTCTGGGGCCCAGCTCCCGTCCCTGGGCCGTGTCGAGAGCGCTACTTTCTAGTCTTTGTTGACGACTTTACGCGCTACACCACGGTGTTTCTCCTGGAGTGGAAGGCCGACGTGCCTGCCATTCTCATCCCGTGGGTCGTAGCTACGCGAGTCCACCGCGGTCTCCCTATGTTGCGTCTCCACTCCGACCGTGGCGGCGAGTTTGCCTCCGGTCGGCTTGGCCAGTCGTACACCCTGCCGGACTCCCCACAGCAGAATGGGGTCGCTGAGCGACGCATCGGTTTAGTCATGGAGGTGGCTCGTACCTCCATGATCCATGCCAGTGCACCCCATTTTATGTGGCCGTTCGCTGTTCGCTACGCCGCTCACCAGCTTAACCTGTGGACGCACTCCCAGCGGCTGCAGGTTTCGCCGACCCTTCTTTGGACTAGGTTCCCTGGTGACGCGTTTGCGTTCCACGTTTGGGGCTGCCTTGCGCACGTTCGTGCCTCTGGCACGAACAAGCTCAATGCCTGCACTGTTCGCAGTGTCTTCCTTGGTTTCTTGCTTGACACGTCGACTGGCACTTTTACCTCCCACCTTCTCATTGCTTCTTGCACTCGCGTAACGTCACTTTTGACGAGTCTGTCTCCTTCTACCACTGCTTTCTCCACCGAGCCGGTTCCCCCCCCCCCTGTTTGTGGTTCCCACTTTTCCGGTAGCCCCTGCCCCTCCCCCTTCCCATCCTGCCCCGCCTGGTGTGTCGCACGTCACTCCCCTCCCGTCGCTTGTCCCGGTTGAGGAGTCCGCTGACTCCGGTGGCCCTGCGACGTTGATTTTACCGCATGCCTCTGCCCTGGTGTCCCCTCCTCCGTCGCCGCCGCCGCTGTAGCAGCAGCAACCGTCGCCGCCGTCGCAGCCCCCGTCGTCGTCGGGGATCGCGAGTTCTAGGAGTGCAGGCGTTTGGGAGGGTGCTAGTCCTGGGGTTACTATCGTGGCTTGTCCCGGCGGTCTCGGGGGTGGCATCGGTACTGAAGAGGTTTCTCGTTCTGGAGGTGTTGGAGTGGAGCGTGGTTCTAGTGTCGGCGTGGAGCAGCAGCAGCAGTCGCAGTCACCACCGGTGTCCTCCCTACGCCTCCTCGGTCTTCCCCCCGTTTACTCCCCGCTTGCGCCTCCCCCACCGCCGCCTCCCCTGCATGTCCACGGCCCTCTTTTTCCTCCGTCGGCCCCGTCTCTAGCTCGTTTCCCCCCTCGTTCTCCTCCCGTGTTTCCTCCTCCGTCTCCTGACCTGACGCTCTCGTCTCACGTCTAGTCTCGCCGTCCCTCCCATGCTCGTCTGGCCTTTCATGTTCAGCACTCCCACCCTATGTTACTTCGTTCTCACGCGTCTCGTCCTCCCCTCCTCCCGTCGCTTCATCCATCATCGCTTGTTGTCGCTCCGCCTCCTTTGTCTGACTACCTTCATATCGCCGGTCCTCTTGTTTCTCGGGTCCTTGCCTCCCTCGTTACCGACCCGGCTGTTCCTATCTCGAGCCTTGACGCGCTTGTCGCTGCCATCGCTGACTTCGCCTCTACCCGCCGCCTTGACTACGCCACCGCTCTGGTCTCTGGCCCTGTCCGTCCTCCGTTCGTCGGGGGTTCTCCTGCCCTTGCCAGTAACGTCCTGGAGGAGTGGCAGTACAAGCTCGCTTTCCTGTCCGAGGCCGCGCCTCATCTCTGCTCCATGCTGCTAGTCCTTGAGGGGGACCCAGACGTCTTTGACATCCCGACCCCTCGCACTTACGCGGAGGCGACCTTGGGACTCTGGGCCTCTTAGTGGATAGATGCCATGGACGCGGAGATGGCATCTTGGAGATCCACCGGCACCTACGTCGACGCAGTTCCCCCACTTGGGGTGAACGTAGTCGATGGCCGGTGGCTCTTCAAGGTGAAGCGCCCTCCTGGAGAGCCGTCGGTATTCAAGGCGCGCTACGTTGCTAGAGGCTTCAATCAGCGCGAGGGTGTTGACTTCTTCCAGACCTTCGCCCCGACCCCGAAGATGACTACTCTTCGGACGTTGCTACACGTAGCAGCACAGCGTGACTACGAGTTGCACTCTCTCGACTTTCTCCACAGCGTTTCTTCAGGGCAGTCTCCACGAGCAGGTTTACTTGCGTCGCTCGTCAGGCTTCACCGGCACGTTCGCCCCAGGGACCCAGTGGCTCCCCCGACGTCCGGTTTACGGCCGAGTGGACTATTTACCCACGGATATTCGAACGACCCATTTTTCGTAAACAACGGTCACCAGCAAGTCACAGCTGCGCAGGGAGCCTATTATGTAAAAGCGGGGACGGAATGAATTTGGGATCCGAGTTATCTTCTACTTCGCATATTACTAATTTTATAAGTTCACGATTCGAACTTATTGGGACATTTCGGGGTTGACAAAACTCTGAAAGCACTGCAACGGTTTTAGTACTTGCCGGACAATATTTCTGTCACAGGTCCATGATATAGTGGAAGCTTGAATGATACTAATCAAGCATTGAATTCTGAATACAACCAAAGAGGCAATGCTATTTATACCTACGATAACTCTAGGGAAGGGTAACTAGTAACTTCTAAGAGAGTTCTAGAAATGAGTGGTCATTCCATTGTACCACATTCTGTTATTCTAAACCTCGACTTTAGATTCCGCGCTACTCTGGTTAAACACTAATAGCATTCAGCACGTCTGTAAACAGTTCAGCAGGTGTTACCAGGTCTGAAGGGATTCAGCTCATCCATCCAAACCACAGCTGCCTTGTAGCTTTCGCCGTGCTGCTGAAGCCGGCGAAACCACAGGCACCACCGTTTTATGTGTGCCATCTCCCGTATAGTGCCAGCAGTCTAAATCCTGCTCTGGATTTAGTCTTCTACCGACGTTTCTTAGCGATTGCCGAGTTCTGTCGGCATATCTGACTCTCAATCTAGGTCGCTCCCCTTGCAGGAATTCAGATCGTTGGTTTTTTGGGAGGAACGACTAGACTCAGAAGCGGGTAGGCATGGGGCAGGGTCAGTCCGGTTTGCCCGGAAAGGGCATGCCAGGCGATGGCAAAGATGACCGGAAGGAAAAGAAGAAATACGAGCCCGCGGCCCCCCCATCGCGTGTCGGCCGCAAGCAGCGTAAGGCCAAAGGACCCGAAGCAGCGGCTCGTCTGCCCGTCGTAACCCCGGCTACTAAGTGCAAATTGCGTCTGCTGAAGCTGGAGCGCGTTAAGGACTACCTTCTTATGGAGGAAGAGTATGTGACGAATCAGGAGCGGCTGAAGCCGCAGGAGGAGAAGAACGAGGAGGATCGGTCTAAGGTGGACGATCTTCGCGGGACGCCTATGAGCGTGGGGAGTCTGGAGGAGATTATCGACGAGAACCACGCCATCGTGTCGTCGTCTGTAGGCCCGGAGTATTACGTCAGCATCCTGTCGTTTGTGGATAAGGACCAATTGGAGCCTGGCTGCTCAATCCTCATGCACAATAAGGTGCGTCGTTTCACGCCACTGCTTCGCGCGTGGAGATTAGACGTCTCTGGATCCCGAATCTTCCTGAATCGTCTCGGATCTACAAGAAATCTGGATCTCCTCGCCGTCACCGTTTCTTCGTTCCGCGTTTATGGATTTCGCACGCCGGATTCCGCGTAAATTCCCGAACGGCGTCCGTTTCTCACGTACAATCCCAAATCTCCCGCAGGTGCTGTCAGTGGTGGGGATCCTACAGGACGAGGTGGATCCCATGGTGTCCGTGATGAAGGTAGAGAAGGCTCCGCTGGAGTCGTATGCCGATGTTGGCGGTCTGGAGCAGCAGATTCAGGAGATCAAGGAGGCGGTGGAGCTGCCTCTCACACATCCGGAGCTCTACGAGGACATCGGCATCAAGCCGCCCAAGGGAGTCATTCTCTATGGTGAACCCGGCACTGGCAAGACCCTTCTGGCAAAGGTGCGCTGATTCGTCGAAGGGTGGCAGAGTAATTCCCGGTTTTTTTGTCGTGTTCACCTCCCAGTGACAGTCTCTTTAACCCGTTTTTCTACCCGACTTTTCGTCGTTGTGTCGTTGTCCCTCGGGCCTCTTGCCGTCGACATGCCAAAATGGTCCCTTCTCCCTCCCCTCCCCGCTCCCCCTTGTCACAGGCTGTCGCCAACTCCACTTCAGCCACGTTCCTGCGTGTGGTGGGCAGCGAGCTCATTCAGAAGTACCTTGGCGATGGGCCCAAGCTTGTGAGGGAGTTGTTTCGAGTGGCAGATGAGCTCTCGCCGTCCATTGTCTTCATCGACGAAATTGATGCCGTGGGAACCAAACGGTACACCTCATGTCTCATCCACCCCTTGCTTCACTAGTTCATTGTGTTTACCACATAGCTAGGTGGTATCAGCTGGACACGAGGTCCTTAGTTTTGTTGATTGTGCCTGTTTGCCCTGGTGCGTCTGCTGCTTTGCCCTCAAACCACCAGTTACGATGCTCATTCGGGAGGTGAGAGGGAGATTCAGCGCACGATGCTTGAGCTGCTGAACCAGCTGGACGGCTTTGACTCCCGTGGAGATGTCAAGGTCATTCTCGCCACCAACCGCATTGACAGCCTCGATCCCGCTCTGCTGCGTCCGGGCCGTATTGACCGCAAGATCGAGTTCCCTCTGCCTGACATCAAGACCAAGCGCCGCATCTTCCAGGTGAGCGACGGATTTGCTGAGTTCACAGTTTGGTAGTGGGAATACTGATGCAGGCTTTTGTGCATTTCAGTGGGCAGAACGACACAGTGGGAATAGTGAGTGTGCTGTTTGAATTATGGCAGATTGGTTTTCGTTTGTCGATGATGGTGCTGGTTGTGTGATGGTCTGCAGATTCACACGTCTCGGATGACAACATCAGACGATGTGAACTTGGAGGAGTTCGTGCTGAGCAAGGACGAGCTCTCTGGCGCTGATATCAAGGCTATGTGCACAGAGGCCGGGCTGCTTGCTCTTCGTGAGAGACGCATGAAGGTACCCAAGTGGCTTTGTGTAAAGAATAAAGGGGAGGAGATGGGGGTGTTGCAGGGTGGTGGGTGTGGGGGCTGGGGGGCGGGGGAAGGAGGGGATTGTGGGAAACGGGAAGGGTTTTTGAGGGAGAAAAATGAGATCGTAATGGAAGAATTTGCACTGATGGCTGTGTCTTGTGTGGTGCCCTCCTTTTTTTCCTGGTTTTGTTTCCATATCAGGTGACACAGGCAGATTTTCGCAAGGCCAAGGAGAAGGTTCTGTACAAGAAGAAAGAGGGTGTTCCCGAGGGTCTTTACATGTAAAGAGCTTGACTGGCGTGCTGTGTTTCAATTCATCTTACCAATACTGTAGTTTGTCTGTGACCTGACATGAGAAGGGAAGGCATCTACAAGTAATCACGTTTCGATGCACGTTTCGAGCTGGCTTGCAACAGAGTCGCCTTGTATAACACTAACTTCCATTTTCACGGTCTAGAAGTCATTTTCTTTTATTTTTATAAAAGTAATGCAGATGACAGTACATCGTGATGGCCAGTGTAACATCAGCGTTGACTAATTCCACAATGTGAGGCGAGGAGAAGCCGCGACGACAGTAACATCTGTCAGAGAACCGTCTTTCTCCTCCACTCCAAGGAACGTGGTTGACCAGATGTCCAGTGTGCTCGTACTGTACATGTTACCCTATCAGCGGAGTTCTTCAGTTCGTCATCGTTCGAAAGCCTCACCCCAACTCCACCGCCCGCGACATTAGCATTCTCGCCACGTTCGGTTCTGCAGCAAGCGGCCACTAGCCACTGCTCATTGGCCACATCATTTTGCGAAAATGGCAAGCCTGCTCTACTGCCTGTCCCACAGTCACCTCACCTCACCTCCTCCGCCGGCTTGTCTTGTCCCTCTCTCTCTGTCCTCTCTCCCGCTGGACCCTCCTGATTCTTTCCCTCATTTCCTTACCTCTCCAGCCCCCCACCAGAGTTTTTTCTGTTGCCTCTCCGACGTCTTCCTCCTCGCTCCGTGCCGTCCGGCTGCGCACCCCTCATTACCCGTACCGCATAAGTTGTCCGGTAAAGAGGAGCTTAGGAGGTCGCTAAGTGATGCTCGGCTGACGTCGCGTAGCTTGTTTGGTGCTGTACTGTTCGCTGCAGTGACTTTCATTCGGAAACGGTACAGAATATAACAGTTCGGTGCGGTGCGGTGCGGTGCGGTGGCGTAGCGTAGCTTGCCTTGAGGGGGTCGCATCACTTTCGACGCGCCTCTAGGATGAGAAACCAAACCTGGCTTTCTTGCTCCGGAGGACGTGTCTGAATTCGGAGGACATATGGAGGCCGTGCAATGGTGACGTTTCGTCGCTTGCTTCTTAGAGTTTCGGGCTCTCTCAGTGTCGGGTTCTGGTTACGGAGCGGTCTTCTGACGTTTGAACGGGTAGTACTTTTACGCTGTAGCTCACCCCTGCCACCCACTCCGCATAGCGTCACTCGTGGTTTGGCCGTGGCAACCGTGAGAGTTAATCGTCACTGCTAGCACATGTCATGGCGACGCCTGTTAGAAGATTAAAGCATTGTTGCCGGTGCTTACATCCCCCTTACGCATTCTCCCCTCGTAGTCCGCGTCTCCGCCTCTGCGTGGCTGTTCTCCTCGTCGTACTATTCTCCCCTCTACCGCGAGCGCATGTCACGCCCTTACAAGACGGTCTACATCCCGTAGGCACTTTAGAAGGCGATGAGCTTTCCTATGCACATCCACATCCCCTTTTACAATCGTCGCTCCAGCCGAATAAGGTTACAGAAATGTATCTACCGGCAGAAGCGGAACCATCCAGTCATCGACAATCTCGGGGAGAGGCTGACACCTTTCCTCATGACAGCAGTAGCAGTCGCGACAGTACCACCGTCAGCGCTAGCAGCAGTAGCGGCGGCACCCGCGGCTCCATAGATACGAGTGACGATAATGGCCATACGCACGTTCGAGAGATTCTCACGCCGGCTCAAGACAAAGTCGCGAAAGTTCTGGAAGGTTCCTCAGGAAATCTCTTTGGGAGCCCCTCTCCACGCGAACGTTCGTTAGCGGAAGCAGACGCGCGGTCCGTCCCGGAAGTCCCCGCCGCGTATGCCGCCGCAATGGCCGCCGCGGCCGCCGCGACGCGCGGGAAGCGGATGGAGGCGCCCGTGATAGGGTGCTTGCTGAGCCTCGGAACCCCGTCGGGCCTCCTCATCTCGTCAGGTGCGATGGCAGGAGGGGGAGGGAAGGAGGAGGGAAGGGGGAAGGAAGGGGGAAGGAAGGGGGAGGGAAGGGGGAGGGAAGGGGGAGGGAAGGGGGAGGGAAGGTGGAAGGAAGGGGTCAGGCTTCGTGTGCGCGTGTGCCCCTTGTATGGCTATGGGGTTCGTCTGTCGCTTCTCGCCTGTGAGCAGAAGGATTTGAACGTTATTTGCAAGTTGCAACTAGCCGAGCAAGGGGAACTCGATTGTGCGCAGTTACAAGAATTCGCACGCTTCCTCCTATCACGTCCCCTTTGGTCAGCAAAGTGGCATCTCTTCTTTCGGCGCAGCTGCTATCCCCCTCCTCCTCCCCCTCCTTCAACCCTCTTCCACCCTCTCCCCTCGTTCGGGCCTTTTTTCTCCCCTCATCTCGTTCCCCCGTCCGTCAGCTTCTCCTCTCCCCTCTCTCTCGCTTGCACCACCCCCTGCAGCGATAGAGGAAGCAGTGAGGGAGGTGGAGGCGGTGACTCGCATCCTCGTTGCTCGTTGTGCGTTGCTTGCATATCAACATTCTGGATGCCTCAAGTCAAGACTCGTTTATCCGTGTCTGTAACCCTCTCCTCTCCCATCCTCCGCTCTCGTCCCCTCCCTGTGAGCAGCGATAGAGAGGGCAGTGAGGGAGGTGGAGGCGGCGACTCGCATGCGCGTGGTGCTGCGCATTGCCAACGCCAGTGCCTCCGACCCCTTCCAGGCCGAGGCTGCTGGTGCGACTGCTGCTGCTGCTGCTGCTGCTGCTGCTGGAGGGGTTGCCTTGGGGTTATGGCCAGGGTTGCTAGCGCCAGGACGACTGGAAACATTGATGGCCAACACGAGCGTGCAACTACCGAATGCAGTTTTTCTGGCCTTTTCTTTCCTCACCTTTTCTTTTTCTTTTTCCCTGCAAGAATGGTTAACCCTGCTTTCAAACTCTCTCGTTGTGTTTCCGTCAATATTCGTTACACACCCCCCAATTCCCATCCTCTGCTATGCCATCGTCCCCAATTGTGTTTCCCTCTGTCTGCTGCTGCAGCCCTGCAGCTGCTGCTGACATCGCCCCAGCCCCACGTGTTGTTAGGACCCCCCACGTCTCTCCAGGCGTCCATTGTGGGACCCATTGCCTCTGCTGTGCAGGTGCGTGCCTTGACGTGCGTGCCTTGACGTGCGTGCCTTGACGTGCGTGCCTTGACGTGCGTGCCTTGACGTGCGTGCCTTGACGTGCGTGCCTTGACGTGCGTGCCTTGACGTGCGTGCCTTGACGTGCGTGCTTTGACGTGCTCGCCTTGACGTGCTCGCCTTGACGTGCTTGCCTTGACGTGCGTGCCTTGACGTGCGTGCCTTCACGTGCGTGCCTTGACGTGCGTGCCTTGACGTGCGTGCCTTGACGTGCGTGCCTTGACGTGCGTGCCTTGACGTGCGTGCCTTGACGTGCGTGCCTTGACGTGCGTGCCTTGACGTGCGTGCCTTGATGTGCGTGCCTTGACGTGCGTGCCTTGACGTGCGTGCCTTGACGTGCGTGCCTTGACGTGCGTGCCTTGACGTGCGTGCCTTGACGTGCGTGCCTTGACCCGTGCCTTGGCGTGCGTGCTTTGACGTGCTTGCCTTGACGTGCGTGCCTTGACGTGCGTGCCTTGACGTGCGTGCCTTGACGTGCGTGCCTTGACGTGCGTGCCTTGACGTGCGTGCCTTGACGTGCGTGCCTTGACGTGTGTGCCTTGACGTGCGTGCCTTGACGTGCGTGCCTTGACGTGCGTGCCTTGACGTGCGTGCCTTGACGTGCGTGCCTTGACGTGCGTGCCTTGACATGCATGCCTTACTCCACCGCCTTCCTTCAGGTGCTTGCTGGTGCACTCCTCCCGCTCTTAAGCCGCTCTGCATCTCAAGCGCTGTGACACACACATGCTGCTGCTGCTGCTGCTGCTGCTGCTACCGTTGCCTTCGGCACGGCACCTTTGACACTGAATCGTGTTGAGAGCCACTGAGCCATGCTTGAGTGTGGGCTGTGTTGTGATAAAGCGCGGCCCTCTCCCCCTCCCTCTCCGCCTCCCTCTGCACCTCCCTCTCCCCTTCCCTCAACCCGCCCTCCTCTGCAGGTGCCTCTGCTGTCGTACGCAGCCTCGGACCCCCTGCTGAACGCCAATGCGCAGTTGCCTTACTTTGTGCGCATGCACTACGACGACCAGGCGCAGATGACTGCCGTCTCAGGTGGGGAGTGGGGTGGGGTGGCACATGCTCGCAACTGGAGCCAGGTTGAAGGTTTCTCAGGTAGGATCAGTTCAGGTGGAGTGTGCTCAGGTGGAGTGTGCTCACTCACCCACGGGGTTGTGGGTTTGTTCGTCCATGGCTGCGCTGGCTGCCATCTCAGCCTATCATGTCCTGCCATGTCATACCGTTTTATCGAGTGTCCTGCCATGTCATGTCATGCTTATTCCTACCACATGTGCCACCACCTCCTGTGCGCCACGAGTGCATATGCAGACATTTTATCGTACTAGTCAGCCGAAACTATGAGGGTCTGATTTGAAGGTCTGATTTGGGGCCTGTCCCAGTCAGCCGAAACTAGTTTGCGTTTTAATCTTCTAGTGGAGTTGAGTTCGGAACTTCAAATTCTCGATTTTTAAACTGGGGTATCAATTTACCTACTGTCACTCTTTTGCTAAAGTTTTTCCTCTCCGCTGCTGCGCACCCTAACGCTTAATGGCCACGAGTGCATATGCAGACATCATATCGTACTACAACTGGACGCAAGTGGTGGCGCTGTTCGAGAGCACTGACAGCGCGTGGAACGGCTTTCAGACGCTCACACGCCTGCTGCAACAGCGGGTCAGTGTGCCACTCTCCGAGTTGCAAATTGCAATGCAATGGCCTTCTTTCCTCTGTGTCCCTGCTCTGCTCAACATGCTGTGCGCATGGGCTGTGCGTATGGGCTGTGTGCATGGGCTATTGTGCGCATGGGCTATTGTGCGCATGGGCTATTGTGCGCGTGGGCTATTGTGCGCATGGGCTATTGTGCGCGTGGGCTATTGTGCGCATGGGCTATTGTGCGCATGGGCTATTGTGCGCATGGGCTATTGTGGACATGTGCTATTGTGCGCATGGGATATTGTGCGCATGCGCCGGGCTATGCATGATAGGAGTCTACTTTAGAGACGCCTCAAATTTTAGAAGAATGGTCTGTGCATGGGCTACAGCAACTATCTAATTCTCTCGTCGGTCCCGCTCAGAGCCTTTACGAGCACACTGCTATCTTTTGCTTTCGAGGGTGATTGTCCGTGCTGACTTTTGAGTCGACTCAAAAGTGATTGTCCGTGCTCCATCCTCCTCTTGCTGCTTCTGGATTCCTTCCTCCCATTGGCCGCGCTCTACCGGGTGGAGGACGTGATAAAAGCCACTGCTATTCCTTCCCACATCCCACGCATGCCCTGTTTCTCTCCCTCCCACCTCCCCCTCCCCCTCCCCCTCCCGCTCCCCCTCCCCTCCCCCCTCCCGTCCCTCTCCCGTCCCCCCCTCTCCCCCTCCCACTGCCCTCCGCCCCACGGGTGCTAGGGCTCGGCACGGGGGTGGCGTCGTGTCAGTTTGACAGCGGGGTGAGCGCGGAGGAGGACGTGATGGCGGCGTTCCTGCTCCCGTAAACATCCCTCCTGCTTCCTCACCGCGCATCCCTCCCCCCCAACCATTCCCAGGGCTCGGCGCGCGTGGTGGCGTCGTGGCAGTTTGACAGCGGGGTGAGCGCGGTGGAGGACGTGATGAAGGCGCTGCTGCAGGTGCGCTCCGTGGAGGCCTCCGTCTTCGTGCTGCACCTGCAGAACGACCCAACCATCCGCCTCGTGCTCAAGACCGGTGCGCTCGTGTGTCTGTGTGTGTTTTAGGGGGGGAGGACAAGGGAGTGGGGGCTTAGAGGTTGGGCTTGGTGCAGGAGGGCCTTGAAGAGCAGGTGTGGTCTGTGGAGGCGTCGATGCTCGTTCTGCACCTGCAGATCGAGCCCACCATCCGACGCGTGGTCACGACGGGTGAGAGGGAGATCGCGTTGCACCAAGATGCTTTCGCCCCGCATGCCCATCTCTCATGCCCATCACCTCACTCTCATGCCCATCACCTCACTCTCATGCCCATCACCTCACTCTCTTGCCCATCACGTCTCTCTCGTGCCCATCACGGTCACTCTTGGCCCATCACCAACATTTATGCCATGATTACGACCCAACCTGCCCTTCTGCCTCCCCTGCTCCCTTCCACCTCCCTCTCCCATCGCCACTCTAACCTCTCCCCATCCCCACCCCGCCCCTTCTCTCCTCCCCCACCATCCTTCCCCCCCATATTTCCCCCTCCCCCCACCTTCCCCCCCTCGTCCCCCTCCCCCCCCCAGCATCACAGCTGGGGCTGTTCACGGAGGGGTATGTGTGGATCGCCACGGCGGGCGTCATGTCTCTGCTGGCCGCTGAGCCGCGGCTCTCCAGCACCCAGGCCTCCTGCGAGGTGCCTGCTGGGCGCATGGGGCATGAGGGATAGGGTGCTGGGGAGAGGGTATGGGGCATGGGGTATGGGGGATGGGGCATGGGGCAGGGCGCATGGGGCATGGGGCATGGGACATGGGGCATTGAGATAGTGGCATGGGGCATGTGGCATGGAGCATGTAGCGTGGGGTATAGGAGATGAGGGATGGGTTGTAGGAGATGGGGCATGGGGCATGAGGCATGGAGACAGTGGCGTGGGTGGGGTATGTGGCATGGGGAATAGGGCATGGGGAATGTGGCAGGTGGGTGCCATGCAGCATGTGCCATGTTGAGGAAAGCCCACTGCTGTGTCATTCAGTGCCATGCATACTTCCTCTGCCTCATTTCAGATTTTCGTACCATGAGTGACTGGTGCCAGATTATGCATCAGTCAGGGGCATCCATGTTGAGGGGCATCCCTCTTTGCAGTTCCGTTTCCCCCCCTTTCCCCACCTACTCTCCCGCACGAGGTTCCTTCCACCAACGGCTACTACTACTCTCTACCTCTCTGTCTCTCTGTCTCTCTCTGTCTTGGTGTCTCTGTTTCTCGGTCTCTCTGTCTCTCTCTGTCTTGGTGTCTCTGCTTCTATGTCTCTCTGTTTCTCTGTCTCTCTCTTCTTGGTGTCTCTCTGTCTCTCTCTGTCTCTCTCTGTCTCGGTGTCTCTCCGTCTCGGTGTCTCTCTGTCTCTGTGCCGTGGTGTGGCAGGGCATGATAGGCACGCTGCCCTTTGACGTGCCCACGCCACACCGCCAGGACATCCTAAAGGCCATATCGGGGGTGGCTCAAGTCTCCCCCTCCCAGCTGCTCGTGAGTTTGCTGCCCGTCAATGCCCCACCTATGAATTGTGTATATGTGTTCGCCTTGCGACCTACCAAACTATTCTCAGCTACATGGGATGTGATGAGCCCCGCTACTTTTGAGGCGCCTCAAAAGATGTGATGAGCGCTGCTATGTGTCAGATACATCCGTAACATATGCATGCTCCCAGATCGTAGTGCTGTGTACAGTTTTGAGGCGCCTCAAAAGTAGACTTCTATCTCGCGGTTTTGAGGCGCCTCAAAACTAGACTTCTATCACGCGGTTTTGAGGCGCCTCAAAACTAGACATCCGTAACATATGCATGCTCCTGGATCGTAGTGCTGTGTACATGCATGCCCCTACCTCCCACAATTGGGTCGCTGCTCCCTTAATCCTCGTCCTCGAGAATCCGGGCGCCCCATGGCCGGCAATTCAAGCCGCTGGCTTTAAGCCCTGCACAGTGCAAGTGCCTCCTCATCCCTCCTCCTCACATGGCCTTCCTGTTCCACTCCCCCCCCCCCCCCCCGCCTGCCGTCTTTTCCTTCTCAAACTCTGCTCTTCGCTTCAAGACAACTGTGGCTGGCTGCATACAAAATCGCCTCTCCGTGGATTCAAAGTGAACCTTGTAACATTCACCTCGCCTCTCCCGGTTCTTCTAACACATCGTCGACGCCCCTCCTGACCTCCCCTCCCATTTCTCCGCCGCAGAGCGAGGCAGAGGCGTACCGCCAGGCATTGTACGCCTACGATGCTGTGAAGCTCTTTGCTTCTGCATACCGGGAGATGCTGCTCGCCCCGCCCCCGCCTCAAGGCAACTCCTCGTCCTCGTCCTCATCCTCGACCTCCCCGCCCTCCTCCCAAGGCAACTCCTCCTCGTCCTCCCCTCCGGCGGTTGCAGCTGGGGGCACCATGGAGGGATTTCAGCAGCTTAATATCAGCAAAGGTGGGCTCTTCTGGCAGGGTGGTTTTTCGAGGAGGTAAACTGCAGGGTGGGTAAGGACATCAGTGGGTGAACGGCAATCCCGGTGGTTGGGAATCAGGTAGAGTTGTGAGCCCGTCACACGAGGTCTGAGCTGACGTTGGCGATAGAGGTGGGCTGCTGAGGTGTGGAAGATGGGCGCATGTGCTGGTTGGTGGGGATTGTGCCGCGTGCAAGTGCGTGTGCATGTGCAGTTTCCGACTGGTTCGTTGATGGGGGCATGCATGTCCCATGACCATGTGTTCGCATTACCTTTTTCGTGCATCATCTCTCAAGTGTAGTCTGCTCTGTGCAGGGCATGTGGTCATGGCATTGGCACGTTGATGCATCGGCATTGCATTTAGAAAATCTCGTTGACTTGACACGAATGACGGTGGAAGAGCTCTGGCATTGGCATGTTTCCATGGCATTGGCATGTTGCCATGGCATTGGCATGTTCCCATGGCATTGGCATGTTCCCATGGCATTGGCATGTTCCCACGGCATTGGCATGTTCCCACGGCATTGGCATGTTCCCATGGCATTGGCATGTTTCCACGGCATTGGCATGTTCCCGTGGCATTGGCATGTTTCCATGGCATTGGCATGCTTTCATGGCCTTGGCAGGTGGCACTGCTCTTCTTGCATCCATCCTCGCGCACAACATGACTGGCGTGACTGGAGAGTGAGTGGAGGGGCCACAAAGCGAGAGAGGCTCTGGGGAAAGGGGAGAGAAGCGAGGGGGACATGGCAACATGGGAAAACGGGAGGGAAGAGAGGGGAACATGGGAATATGGGAAAGGGGTAGCATGGAAAGGGTACATGGAGAAAGCAGAAGGACATATGGCAAAACAGAGGGCCAGAACCAGAACGATGCTGGTAGAATTGGGCAAGTAGTGGGAGAGGGAGGGAGAGAGGGAGCATGAATGCAGGGATGTAAAACTGGAGGCCCAGCAGGGAGAGGGTGGGGTGGGCCAGGGGAATTTGGTGGGGTGGGGTGGGGTGGGGTGGGGGTGGGTGGCGGTGGGGTAGTGACAAAATTAGGGAGGATGTGGTGTTTGTTCTGTCTTGCTGCTGGAGCATTGCTCTCTCAATTCAATTTTAACTCCCCTACCCCCCTCTCCCCGATCTTTCCCTTCGGAAGATCCGTTTTTTTTCCTTCCCCTCAACTCTTGTTCAATAGAACACCAGTTAGGTGGCAAGGGTCAATGCGTGGCTGCAATTCCGTTTCTGGGTTAACACCTCCACCCCCCACTCCCCCCCCACCAACCCGACCCTTCCCCACCACCCCCACCACCCCTCCCCCACTCCACCACCACCCCACCACCACCACGGCCCCCACCTGCCCCCCATGCCCGCCGGCAATCAGAGTGTCGTTCACGGCGTCTGGCGACCTGCAAGAGCAGTTCTTCCGCATCGCCAACATCCAGTACGGCATCCGCACCATCGGCTTCTACCACTACCGCGCTGCCTCCACCACCAACACCACAAATGCCGCTGCTCCTGCTTCTCCTGCTGCTCCTCCCACTCCTGCCGCACCGCCTTCCTCCTCCTCGCACGGTGCTGCTGGCAACACGAGTGCTTCACCCTCTCCTGCGCCCTCCTCTGCTCCTCCCGCCCCTTCCTCCTCCAACTCCTCCTCCTCTTCGTCCGCGTCCGCTGCAGCCCAACCCCCGTCTACTGCCTCCTCGTCGTCATCTTCCTCTGCAACTGTTGTGCAAGGCCTTGTGTCGATCGAGCAGGTGAGTAATGCGAGCCTGTTGGTGAGCTGCCACTTGTTCCGGTCACCATAGAATCATAGATACGCAATGGGGGCATCTTGAGGTGTGTTAGGATGGGCTATGAGGGTCAATCTGTGATTGGAGAAAGAGATCCCACCTTGGTAACTTTCCCTCTCTGCTGACTCATTCATGCACTCCGTTCCACTCCCTCTGCTTTTCCGTTTTCTTCTTCTCTTTCTTCCTTTTTTTTTTCCGTGATTGTTTGTCGGTGCCTGTGTGTGTGTCGGCGAGAGTGCAGATGGCTCAACTGCTGGTTTCCCGAAAGCTCGCAACGCAAGCAGCTGCGGTCAGTTTGCTTATTCGCTCCTCTCCTTTCTTCTCCCCCCTTCTCCTTTCCCTCTGCCGTTTCCTCTCTGCCCTCCTCCTTGGCATCTCTACTCGCCTCGGTTCCTCCCTTCTCGTCCACTCTTGTACTGCTGGAGGTTGCAATCATGGCAACCTAGGCGAGATATGGCTGTGATTGAGGCAGTCTTTGAGCAATCCACAAGCATCATGACCATTCTCTTAAAGAAGTCAACATTTTATGACGAACCTAATCTTTTAAACGATCACCTGTCCAGCTACGTTGCATGTCACTGATTTGTTACATGAACTGCCGTGCAGTTAATCTTCTTTCTTCCTTTCCTTCACCCTCCATCCATCTTCAGTTGGCAGCAGTGAAATCCAGCAGCACGCAAGCAGCAGCAGCAGCAGGGGGGGAGGAGGAGGAGGAGGAGGAGGAGGAGGAGGAGGAGGAGGAGGAGGAGTTGGAAGAGCAGCAGCATCGGCTATGGAGGGTGCTGCTGGCGTGCTGCGAGACGTGGTGTGGCCGGGAGGCACCAAGACTGAGGTATTCTGGGGCACGAGCACCATGTGGCCACGAGGTGCCTCCGTTCCCTCTTTCCCCTATCCGCCATCACCTAGTTCCGCTGCCCCCATCCCCGACCCACCATCCATCCCACCATCCATCCCTCCATCCATCCCACCATCCATCCCACCATCCATCCCACCATCCATCCATCCCTCCATCCATCCCACCATCCATCCATCCCTCCATCCATTCTACCATCCATCCATCCCTCCATCCATCCATCCCACCATCCATCCATCCCTCCACCCATCCATCCCTCCATCCATCCATCCCTCCATCCATCCATCCCACCATCCATCCATCCCTCCACCCATCCATCCCTCCATCCATCCATCCCTCCATCCATCCATCCCACCATCCATCCATCCATCCCACCATCCATCCCACCATCCATCCCACCATCCATCCCACCATCCATCCCACCATCCATCCCACCATCCATCCATCCCTCCATCCATCCCACCATCCATCCATCCCTCCATCCATCCCACCATCCATCCATCCCTCCATCCATCCCACCATCCATCCATCCCTCCATCCATCCCACCATCCATCCATCCCTCCATCCATCCATCACCATCCATCCATCCATCCATCCATCCATCCATCCATCCATCCATCCATCCATCCATCCATCCATCCATCCATCCATCCATCCATCCATCCATCCATCCATCCATCCATCCATCCATCCATCCATCCATCCATCCATCCATCCATCCATCCATCCATCCTATCCATCCATCCATCACCATCCATCCATCCATCCATCCATCCATCCATCCATCCATCCATCCATCCATCCATCCGTTCCTTCAAGGGCGTTGGGTGGCAATTTTCAAGAGACCTTACCTCCCAGTTCTTCTCCCTTTTTTGCAGGTACCGGTAGGCTCCTTCCCCAAGAGCTCCGCTCCTCTGCAGATCGCTGTGCCAGTCAAACGGGTAAGCGCTGCTCTGCAGCAACCAGGGCTGTAGAACGTGTTTTCCGGCTTTCGAGTCGACTTAAAAGCGGGGCTGTAGAACCGGTGTTCCAACTTCCAATTTGTGTACGTGTGCACAGCTTCTCGACCCTCACAATTCTTCTTCCACAGCTCTCCCTCTGCAACCACCACCAGTTGTGTATGCCGCTTTGTGACACTTGGAAGTCCCTCGCTCTCGTTTTGCATGCCACCACCACCACCACCACCACCACCCGCGCGCCCCCCAGGGCTACCACCAGTCTGTGTATGTGGGCGATGCGCTGTCCAACGCACTGACCCTAAGGATTCTGATTCCGCTCCACTCCCCTTTCCTTACCACCTCCCCCCCCCCCCCCCCCCCCCTTCCCTTCCCCCTCTCCCCCCATAGGGCTACCACCAGTTTTTGTGCGTGGGTGACGCACTGTCCAACTCATCGTGAACCCGAACGATTCTTATTCCATTCCACACACCCTGCCCCTCCCTCCGCACTCTCGCTCCCCCACCCCCCACCTCTCCTTTCCCAGGGCTACCACCAGTTTGTGTACGTGGGCGACGCGCTGTCCAACGCATCGCGGTCCAATGAGAAGTTCTCGGGTTTCTGCATCGACGTGTTCAAGGCCGCCGTCGCGCTGCTGCCGTATGCCCTGCAGTACCAGTTCGTGGCGTTTGGGGACGGTGCGCACGACCCCAGCTACGACGCTATGGTCGCTGCTGTCGCTAACAAGGTCAGAAGGGGGTGCAGGGAAGGGGGAGAAAAGAGATTGGGTGTGTGGGGAGGGAGGAAGGCAGTGTTTTTGTCTGGGGAAGGGTCACATGGAAGTAGACGGTAGGAAAGGGGGCTGGGTGGGGGTGGGGTATGGGGGATGGGGGGGGGGGGGGGAGCTGGAGGGTTGAAGTGCGAGGGTCGCAGTGGTACTGCTGCTGTACGCCCTGCAGTACCAGTTCGTGGCGTTCAGGGACGGCGTGCACGACCCCAGCGATGACACCATCAAGGTGGTCGCTGCCGTCGCTAGCAAGGTCCGGGAACCAGGGGAGGGTTTCGGGTTATTGTAATTCGCAAGAACCAGGGTCGGGTTTCGGGTTCTGGGAATTTGAACAACCAGGGGTGGGTTTCGATGTGCGGGCGCAGTGGTGGCGACAGGGTGAGGAGGAGAAACAGAGTTGACGGAGAAGCAAGGGAAAGGGTGTGGGGGTGAGAGAGTGGCGTGTGTGTGTGAGAAGAGAGGGGGGGAAGGAGAGGCTGGTTGAGGCCAGGGGAGTGGGTGAATAGATGGGGGTAGGGGGGGGGGGGGAAGGGGAAGGGAGGGGAAGGGGAAATGGGAGTGGAAGGAAGGAGCAAGGAGTGTGCCGGATTGGTGGATTCATCATTGTCGCCCGTGCTGGTCGTGACTTTCCTCTCTGCATGTGTTGTTCATCAGTCACCTCCCCTTTCTTTCCCCCGGCTCGAATTGTCTCGCTCCTTGCCTCCTTTTCCTCCTGCCTTACTCTCTGCACGCCTCCCTGCCTCCCTGCCTCCCTGCCACTCTGCCTCTCTGCCTTTCCACCTGTCTGTCCGCCTCTGTGTGTCTTTCCGCCTTTGTGTGTGTGTGTGCCTGCCGGTGCGCCCGCCATCAGACATACGATGCAGCGATCGGGGACATCACCATCACGGCGCAGCGAGCGCAGCTGGTCGAATTCACCCAGCCCTTTGAGGCAAGGCCGGCTGGGGTTGGCTTAATGGATTAGATGGGGTTGAATGGGCTTGGACGGGGTCAGATGGGGCTGGATGCGGTTGGAATGGTGCTCGATGGGGCTGGGACGAACGGGGTGGAAGTGGGTTCAGTGCGATTGAGTGGGGCTGATTAGATGGATCACCAGGGTTCCACTACCTTGGGAAGATCCCTTTTCAGACACTTCTTACCAATGCTGCCAATGCTTGCACCTACTGCCCCCCTACTGTCTCCGCCTCTCCACTTCTTCTTCCAAGCAGCCTCCACTCCACTCCACCCCTCCTCCCCGTGACCGTGCTCCAAGACGTGCCAATATCCCTGTGCGACCTCTCGGTACTTTGTGCCATTCGTTTCCTCCTCCCTCCTCCCCCCTCCCTCAATGGTCCCCCCTACCTTTCCATTTCCCAACCGCAGCCCCCTTCTGCCCCCAACCTCTCCCCCCCCCCTTTTGGGCGTCATTACCCCCCAATCACCCCTCCCCCAGGCGTCATTATCCCCCAATCACCCCTCCCCCAGGCATCACCCCAATCGCCCCAATCACCCCAATCACCCCAATCGCCCCCTTCCCCAGGCGTCGGGGCTGACGATGATAGTGCCGGTGCAGCAGGCGCCCCCGGACACGTGGGCGTTCCTGCGGCCATTCACCCCGGGCATGTGGGTGCTGCTGTACTTCTCCTTCTTCTACACGGCGCTCGTCGTCTGGTTCCTCGAGCACCTGCAGAACGACGACTTTGGCGGCAAGCTGCACCAGCAGCTCGCTACCAGCGTGTGGTGAGTGCGGGGGTGAAATAAGGGAATGCTTCGGAAGAGATGGAGGAGAGGAGGCGAGAGGGAATGGTGGGGAGTGTGTGGGGGGGATGAGAGAGAGGGAAGTGCATGGGGAATGGTTGTGTGTGGAGAAGGGAGATGTGGGTGCGTAGGAGGGGGAAGTAGCATCTGCAGGAGTGTGAAAGAACGGGACGAAGAGAGGGGAAATGTGAGGACTGGGGACGGGGAAGGGGAATAGGCAATGTTGGCAGGCTGGGCAGCCGGCCAACGGAGATGCCGAGCACGAATCCGCTCTCGCTCTTGGAGATGTGCATGAGCATCACAGTGGCGATGTACATTTGCATCACAGTGGCGATGTACATTTGTCTCAAGCTCCATGCTCTTCCGGTGTGTTGCATGCGGTGTTCTCCTTAACATGGCATGTGTTCTCCTCCGCCCATGTTGCCGCCGTGAGGTATGGCACATGGGCGACATGTTGCCATGGGGCCTTGCCTCACTGTGTTGCCTGTTGCTTGTGTTGTCATGGTGTGTGGGCGTGCATGCGTGTGCATGTGCGTGTGCATGCGTCCATGTGCGTGCGTGCGTGTGCGTGTGCATGCGTGCGTGCATGTGCTGCAGGTTCTCCTTCTCCACTATGACTTTCTCCCAAGGTAATCCCTGCCTTTCCCACCACTCCTTGCACTCTGCCCAGTGCCTCATTCTCACTACCCTCTCTTCGCAACAGCACTCGCCTTCCCTTGCAAGCCTCTGCCATTGCACCGATGTCTCAACCGTCCACGAGTCCAGGGATTTTTTTGTCTAGACTCAAGGCTGAGTCGACCCAACAACCAATATCTCAACCATGCACGTGTCCAGTTGCCCCCCCCTCCCTCCCTCAAACCAGATGCCCTCATTCCCCTCCTCTCTTCCCGTCTCTCACCCTTTCTTCCTCCTCCTCCTCGCGTTCGCCTGTCCTTCCATGCACCCCCCCCTGCCCACCCCATGCCATTGCCCCCCTCTTCCTCCCCCTCCCCCGTTCCCCCCACCCCCTTTCCCAGAGGAGAACGTGAAGACGACGCTGGGGCGCATAGTGGTGATAGTGTGGCTGTTTGTGGTCTTTGTCATCTCCTCCGCCTACACTGCCAGCCTCTCCTCCGTGCTTACTGTCTCGCAGTCCGAGCCCACCATCTCCGTATGTACAACCACACTAAACCTAAACCCTGGAGCCGTAAGCCCTAAGTATCTTGGGCTTTGATCTGCAGCAACTTCCGAGTGCCGACAGCAACTTGCTGTCAGCAAGTAGTGGCTTGCTGGATTCTGAGAATACTCAAGAAGCAATCTTCTGCCCTACAAGTACCTTCCTGAGTGCTGACAGCAACTTGTAACTTGCTGCAGGGGTCGTTTGCCTACTTCTCAGAAGTACCTTCCTGAGAGTGCGGGTCCTCTGACAGCAGCTCGTCCGACTCTTGTTATGGTTGCAGGACTTCCAAGGGCTGGTGGGCACCAGCGATGCAGTGGGGTACCAGCGTGGGTCATTCTCCTTCGAGTACCTCCGAGGGATGGGCATCAACGAGGTGATGCCCTCTGCCCTCTGTGCGCCCCTCTGCCCTCTGTGCGCCCCTCTCCCTCTGTGCATCTCTCTCCCCTATTTAGCATCGGCCCTCCCGCTGCATCCTGTTGCATGCTACCCTCTTGATCGTCACCTCTTCCCTCTCCCCTCCCCCTCTATCTTGCCTCCCCCTCACTCCTCCCACTCTCTCCTCCCTCTCTCCTCCCTCTCTCCTCCCTCTCTCCTCCCTCTCTCCTCCTCCTCCTCCTCATCCCCACAATTCCCTGCTGCGGCACATCATACCCCTGCCAGATTTTGAGTCGACTTACAAGCATTCCCTCCCTCCCACCCCCTCCTTCCCTTTCCCCCCCCCGTATTCCCCTGCAGTCGTGCCGCATACTTCTACCAGACGAGGCGGAGGTGGACGGGGCACTGAACCGCATGCAGGTGGTGACGGTGGTGGGCGAGGAGCCCTACGTCAACATCTCGTCAAACCCGCCTGAGAGGAGTCTAGTTTTGAGGCGCCTCAAAACTAGACTCCTATCACGAGGAGCCCTACGTCGACATCTCATCAAACCCCCCCCCCCATTCTGCGTTCCTGCATGCGTCCCATGCTCCCTCCTTCCAGTCGCGCCTCATTGCCCTGTCTGACGAGGCGGAGGTGGACGGGGCGTTGAACCGCACGCAGGTGGTGGCGGTGGTGGACGAGGAGCCCTATGTGGACATCTTCCTCTCTGACTATTGCGCCTACAGCAAGCCCACCCACGCCTTTGCCACCTTCAACCTCGGCTTCGTGAGTCCCCCCACCCCCCACCCTCCCATCCACCCTCCTGCCTGCCTGCCCGCGCCACTCTCTGCATCTCCCACTCCCTGCATGCTGCCCTCCTCTCCTCCTCCCCCCGCCTGCCGCCCCTCAAAATCACCCTGTGTCTGTGCGTCTGCCATTCCTCTCCTCCCCCTGCCCCCCGCCCCCCTCGCCCCCCGCCTCGCCTTCCCTCTGTGCAAGCGTTCGATTCAGAGGGGCTCATTGCTGGCCAACCACACTTCCAAAACGACTCAAAATCCTCCGAGCGTGCGTCTGACCTTCCCCTCTTCCCTCCTTCCTCTCCCCCTCTCCCCCTCTCCCCCTCTCCCCCTCTCATTCTGTTTGTTCCGTGAGTGTGTGCAGGCGTTTCAGAAGGGGTCATCGCTGGCCAACGACGTGTCCATCGCCATCGAGGCCCTCGCGCAGAACGGCCAGTTGCAGTCGCTGCACGACCTCTGGCTGCATGTCAGACTCCCCTCCCTCCCTCCCTCCCTCCCTCTACTGCCTTTGAGTGGACTCAATTGTCATTCCTTCCTCTCTGGTTTACCACCCTCTCTGACGTGCCCACCAGTCTTGCCTCTCGCCTCCCCACTCAGCCCCCATCTCTCGCGTGCTCGCTCTTGCTCTTGTTCGTCTCGCTCCCTCTCTCTGCTCTACATCCCAACCACTTGTTCTTTCTCCTCCCCAGCGACCATTCACTCCTCGCTTCCCCAAGCCGACCAGTCTGTTTCCCGCTCCTCTCTTCCCACCTCTCCCTTCCCCCCATCTTCCCCCCTCAGGGTCGTGGCACGTGCAGCAGCGGGCCGTCGCTGCAGTCCATCCGCCTGGGCCCGGACTCCTTCTGGGGGCTCTTCCTGCTCTACGTCGTTGCTGCCTGCGGCGCCTGCCTCATCTATGCCGTCCTCCTCGTGTACCGGGGCCTCAAGGCCTTCCAGTACGCCCCTTTGTTCGCCCTGCCCCGTCCTGCCTCGCCCTGCATTTCTCTGCCTTACCCTGCCCGGCCTTGCTCTTTGTTTTGGCTGGCGTTTTCCTTGCATTGTCGCCCGAGGCCTCTCCTCCGTGTCTTGCTTGCCGCACTTGGATGGATCTCGCGCTCTTGATCCAGCTGCGTTGCCAGGGAGAGCTTGTTATTGGTGGCCGGTCGTAAGGCTATGTGCTGGTCGAAAGTGATAAAATTGGAGCTACGGTACTTACTTATCTTGACATCAATGCATGTGCTCTGCCCCTCCCTCTGCCCCTCCCTCCGCCCCTCCCTCCGTTCGCCCCTGGGAACAGGCACGCTCGGCATCCCCACGCACAGGACACAGATGAGCACGCTGACCCCCTGCCTCCTAAGCCCAGGCCGAAGCGGCTCAAGAGCCACGTGCGGCACTACAAGAGTGCATACACTGCCGTGAGTGATGCTCCTGAAACCCACCGCACTGGCCTCCATGGCTTCATCCCCCTGAGCTCCACCTCTGCTTTCGTTCACGCTTTTATCTCCCTCTCCCTCACCTCCCTCCCTCCCTCACTCTTCCTCTTCAGCCCTCCCCATTTTCTCACTTCCTCCCTACCTCTCCCTTCGCCTCCCTCACCGACTCCCCCCCTCCTGCCCCTCCCTCGTCCGCCCAGGGAGTGGAGTGGAGCATGCAGAGGAACATGGGTTACTCAACGCGCACGTCTGCGGGCCTGCTCAGCAGCGCGGACTCGTCCAAGACGCAGTATGACGTGTCCAGCATCGGCTACTCCGCGCACCATCCGCCCCAGCAGCACCCATCTCACAGGCAAGAATCTATTTCAGAGGCGCTTCAAACATAGCTGCCCCAGAAGGACCCACCTCACAGGCAAGAATCTATTTTTGGCTCGCCTAAAAAATCGCCGCCCCAGCAGCACCATTCTCACAGGGAAGACTGTTGCTCGTGGCAAACGTTGGGGGCGGGTGAGGGTTCTTCAATGCCCTAAAGGTTCTGGTCTTTTACCGTACATACATAGGAAAACCCCCTCCTGCCAACACCTACCGGTACTCGTTAGGACTCAGGATCCTTCGCCCACTCCAATCATGCTCATCCCTATGCCTACTATCCTCGGACTTGCCCATCCCATCTCATCCCATCCCATGTATGCAGGGAGGAAGATGAGGATGATGATGATACTAGTTTGGGTGAATTGGCGCCTGGCGACCATCATGCATCACTACAAGATGACTTGGGTAGACAACTCAGTGAGCTACGTGTCTCACGCTTCCAACCTTCAGAGCATTCGTCATGAGTCGATCTTGGTTTACATAATACTTGATATACATTATGCACATGCAGTGCAACTTTTGTGCGGTTGCATGCAACCAGTGTTCCTTTTCCACTCCAGGATGGTTTTGGTTGAGGCCACAAGTGAGAACTCCTTCCCAGAGAAGAAACTAAGAACAATAAGAGATTTTTGCATGGCAGAATGGGGCAGCCAGGCAGGAAGGCATGTGGCTCATGCCACGATGATCGAGAGGAGTAACTTCCTCCGATCTGTACTCGAAATCCCAGCCATGGAGTAGGCGTTCCAGACGTGTTCCTACAAACGTCTTCCTAGAATAGCCTCTTCCCCCGTTCTCCCCGCGCCTTTAGTGTTTTCTGTAGAACTCGGTCTAGATTGTACCACAGTAACATTCCATAGATTCGCGTTCCTAAATATACGCGTGTGACTGGAAAGTGGTCGAATTACGCCCCCAGCCTCGGCAAGCGCAACATCTTGTCGCACCACGCCGAACCATTCCGCGTCGAAATTTGCGAACTGAAGCGCCCAAGCGTGGGAAGAGGTTCGTCGGGACACGCTCTGTTACAAAAAGCCGTTACTTTGAATAGAAGGAATTAATATAATATAACAAAACGAACTACTGTATTGTATACTGCACATCGCAGTCTAGAAGCTCTGCGCGAGGTACTTGCGAGGAGCGGCGGGCAGGCCTCCGCCGGCGGCGCTGCCCATCATGTTCATGGCGATGGACATTTCCTCGTCCACGGCCTGTGCGCGCGTGAAGCGGCAGAGCTTGCAGTCCGCCTTGAGGAGGTCCGCCACCTCGTAGTCGTCCATGCGCCCATCGATGAACCCCTCCGCGTTGTCGCCCGGCACCACCATCACCTGCAGCAGATCGCTCCACTGCAGCTGCTGCTTGGCCCTGGGAAACGACAAAACAGGGGGGTGGGGGGGGAGACCACGTTAGCACCGCACGAGAAACAAGCGGAAAAACAACCAAAAAAAAGCGAAGAACGAAGACTGGGACTGCAAAGCGCAGACGGAAGGCCTCCAAGGGCGGCGTGACTTACAATCGACCCTGGAAGTCGGGGCGGAACGTTTGGCCGAGGACGCCGTGCACGGCGTGGGAGAAGGAGGAGGAGAGGACGTCGAGGCCGAAGTGCACGGCGGCGTCGGTGGGCGTGCGAAGGTTCTTCACCTCAGGCCTCAGCGTCAGGCGGATGGTGGCCACGCCCTCGATCTTCACGTCGTACACGTCCACCAGGTCCGTGCCGCTCACCGACCGCGCCGCCTCCCACCTCAGCGTCGCGCCGTCCCACAGCTGCACCGTCGTGCCGGGCACCGTCACCTCCACCGCCGCGCCGTCCGCCACCACGCGCGCCAGGTACCCGCTGCCGTACTCCGCGTCGCCGCCGCGCCGCGCCTCCAGAACCACCGTGTGGTGGCCCGCCATGATGCCCACGGACCGGATCCACGTCAGCGCCTTCACGTCGCCGTTCCACCGGCTGTAGCGCCCGCCGAAGAAGCCGTTCATCTGGAAGTGCGGGTCCGACACCAGCGCGTAGTTGCGGTTCGGCTTGCCGCTGAAGTCGAAGTGCGACCCGTCGGCGCCCGTGAAGTGCGGGTCGCCCTTGTCCTTGCCCTCGCACAGCTCGCCCACCGTGAAGTTGGCCGGCACCTCGTAGTCCTCCGTGCCCACGCCGCGCGCCGGCTCCATCCACTTGCTGCTGTAGCTCTTGTCGTCCTTGCACTGCAGCTTGTTGTAGCACGTGCAGATGCCGCCCGTCGCGTCCAGACACGTCTCCTCGAACATCCAGTACTTGGCCTTGTTCGCCGAGTTGTCGTTGCTGGGCAGCTGCATGTTGTAATACTCGCACACCTTGTAGCAGTCCAGCTGCGGGGTCGCGATCAGGTCGTCGCTAATGTTGAACTTCTCGTACTGGTACATCTGCCCCGGCGTGAAGTACGCCTCGTGCAGAGGGTCCGCCGGCTCCTTGTACGGATCCGTGGGGTCCGTGAACTTGCCTTGTTTGAAGTTGCCCGGCCCGCACACAAACCCCGGGCAAACCTCCGCGAGAGCTACCGAAGCGCATAGAGATACGAATAGGACAGCCAAAGCGACGCGAGCCATTGTAGAAAACTAGATTGCGAAAAAGACTAGAGCGGGAAGCGTAAGACTACTTTGCTCGCTTGCAAGAGACTACTTGGTTACTTCACGCAAATATCTCCTACAAATCTCAATTGGTAAGTTGGGGTGAGTTCAATATGGGAGATAAGGCAGCTTTAGCGTTGGCTTTGGTGATGTCGATGAACGTGGGAACTGTTTCTGTTGTAGCGGAGGGCAGGACCCATCTGATGATTCAACCTGCGGTTTGCTGTCAGGTGATCTTCCGGGCTGCCATGTTCGCAGCAAACGTTCAACGGTTTGGCCCATCGTGCCCAGAAAGCGACAAGCGTGAAGCGAACTGAATCAGTTGGTTGAGATGACAGGATTAGCAAAGCTGCCTACGAGGACAAATTCTGTACACCTCTGGAACACTTGCGTCAAAGCAGTCAGTGAAACGGTGTAGATACATGTCGGTATGGAAATGGTGTTGCCTTACGTTTGTGGAAAAAAATATGCCTGTAGGATTTTATGCCTCAATTGTTTAGCGGGTCTGTAACAGCTGAGTAACCCTCCACAGACTCTTCAGCAGACCAGCGGAAGTTCCAGTCAGAGTTTCAACTGCTTGCGCGTCTCGAGCGTTTCGAACCTGTCGCATGACACATCGCGGCGCGTCGTTCCCAAGGGACCGAGATTCGGAACAACTGATTTCACCTCTCCTCCAGCCAACATGAGCTGGTTGGGAGCTCGTGTAAATTGCGCCCCACATTTTGCTTCCCACTTCAATTCGACGATATTGAACCACAGGAAGCCGTTCGAACCAGCTCAAGCCCTTCTCAAATCCTGTCAATCGAGTCTGCTACTTCTCTACCGATCTCAGCCCCGTGAGCCCCTCTTTCCATCACAGCAACAAACCCTTCCGTCGCGGTGGCCTCTGTTCTCCGCCGATCCTTCTGCAAGCTCCAATCCCGAAGCTCCTAATTCGCCACCATCCGGCCACTTTGCCACCCGTCGAATCTTCAACACGCTCGAGACCCCTTCCGCCGCCTCGGATCTCGTGAATTCCCGCGCCACACCAGCGAATCATCCCACGCGGGATCTCCCGCCATCTCACCACCACCACCTCCCTCCCACTCACGCGGCAATCATGGGAGTTGATTCCCCCCGTCGCACGTTTCTTTCCTCCCCCGCAACAGTCAAGCCCGGCGGCCACCCCGGCTACAAGACCTCCGGCAATCTCATCGCCGCGGCTGCTCTCTCCGCCTCCGCCTCCGCGGCTTCCGCGACGGCTGCCGTCGCTCCTCCGCTGAACAATTCCGCCACCGGCGCGTCCCCGCTCGCCGCAGGGCTTTCCCCCCACCGCAAGGTTTCCCCCGGTGCCCTTGCGCTCATGATGATCCGGCGGGAAGGCGCAGCGGCTGGTGACGCCAAGAACGCATCTTCATACCTCTCTCCTCGCAAGAATGGCAGCACCAGTGGCGGCGGCGCCGCGGCAGCGGAGGAATTAGTCTACGCGTCGGCGGATGCCGCAGCGGCGGGGTTCGCTTCGCTGAGTCTCGGCGACTCGGCTGACACCACGGCAGCTGCTCGCGCCGCCGTGAGCCTCCTCTCGCTGGAAGACGCGCACAACTCGAAATCCACCGCACTGCTGAATGGCAGTGGCGGATCGTCGCTCTTGAAACGCGTGGGTTCCGCCACAGCTGCTGCTGCCGCCGCCGCCGCTGCTTCTGCCACCGTTGCTGCTGCAGCTGCTGCTGCTGATTCGCCGAAAATCGCGGCGGCTGGTGCTGCGCAGACGGCGGCGCCGCCCAAGTTTGTGTATCACGAGGATCTGGTGCGGGTGGTGCGGCCTGAGGACGACGAGGACGGCAAGGCACTGCGCGCCAAGCTGGTGGCTCTGGTGCCGTTCCAGAAGGGGCAGCTGATCGCCAAAATCGAAGGTCAGATAATGACTGACAAAAAAATCATGAAAATCGTCTTCAAAACTCACATTCTAAGAGTAATGGCAGCATCTAGGCCAGATTCGATGGACGTTTAGAGAGAAAAAACCCTACTTCCCAATTCGCCCCATGCCCCACTGATCCCCATGTCCCCGGGTCTCAACCACCCCAGGCGTGTCCTGGGACGTCCCCTGCAGCTACAGCACGGTGCAGTACGGTCCACAGCGGCACCTGGAGCTGAACTCGGACCTAGTCTACATGAACCACAGCTGCGACCCCAACGTGGCCGTCAGCGTGGGCGCCATGGAGGTGCGCGCGCTCAAGGCCATCCCTGTGGGCGGCGAGCTCACGTTCTTCTACCCGTCCTCTGAGTGGGAGATGCAGCAGCCCTTCACCTGCTGGTGTGGCTCTGATAAGGTTAGTGGTTTGGGGAGCATGGGGAGTTCGGGAGGTTTGGGAGGCTTGGGAAGCTTGGGAAGCTTGGAAGAAAGGGATTTGGGGTTTAGACTTGGGTGATCCTGGGCTCGGCAAGTAGAGGCGGATTTAGGGACTGCAGGTTTCAGGTTTTGGGGTGAAGAGGGGATTGGTTTCTTCTGGAAGAATTGTTCTGGAACCCTGAACACTGTTGTGTTGTCCCCAAATGCTTCCATGCTTCTCCCCAAATGCATCCCCCTTCTCTCCCTGAACGGAACCCTGAATTCCCCTCCCCTGCCTTCCCCCACCTTCCCTTCTGCTCTCTCCAATCCCCTGTCCCTCTCCCCTCCTCTTACTCTCTCTCTCTCTCTCTCTCTCTCTCTCTCTCTCTCTCTCTCTCTCTCTCTCTCTCTCTCTCTCTCTCTCTCTCTCTCTCTCTCTCTCTCTCTTCCCTCACGTGTGCGGCTGGTCGACTCGCACATCCGCGGCATCATCTGCAACACTCTCTCACATTCTCACCACATAATTTTCAGGCTCCCTCCCTCTTCCACCCCCTATCTGATCGGCAGTGTGTGCGGCTGGTGGCTGGGGCCAAGTTCCTTACGCCTGACAAGCTGAGCCAGTACTTTGTCAACTCGAACATCCGCGACATCATCTGCAACACACTCTCCTCCAAGCTCCCCAAGCACCAGGCTGTGTGACGAGCTGGTTTTGGAGACAAGGCAGGTTGAAACCGTGAGGCATCGATGAGTTCAAGCCAAAAATTGGGTGGTCCAATGTCGCGAGTGGTAATAGCATGTGAAGCAATTACTGTAGAATGTAGACTTGCGCAGTTCTGCTTATCCCTCCACCCTGTTAACGTAGAAACGAATGATTACTAGAGGTGGAAACCTAGAACAAATACTAGTTGGTTGTACTCACTAGAAGCATACCTCAGTCTAGCCTATAACTTCTACATAGATAATATGTATAAGTTGACACACCCCCTAGGCTAGACAAGGGGTGAAACTAAACAAGAAGCAAACAGCTCAGGGCGGCACTACTAGTCCAACCACTGAGGCAGGGGTCTGGAGACCAGTCAGCAAGAATACAACCAAAACTGAAGCAAGCCAGGGTGGCACTACTAGTCCAGCCACTGGAGGTAAGGCCACAAGGCCAGTCTGACAAGCATATATAATAGAGAGTACACAATCAGGATCCTAACAGGGGAGCAGCTATAGGAACAAGACCAAGCTGTACACAGTGCCGCTGATGATCTTTAGGCGCAAGCGCCTTAGTAAAGATATCAGCTGTGTTGGCACCTGAGGCCAAGTGAACTACGCGGGCCTGGCGGCGCTGCTGTAGCTCGCGCAGGAGGAAGTACCGCAGCTGGATATGCTTCGCTCTGCCCTCAAGCCGAGGCTCCTGACACAGGAGTATCATGGCCCTGTTGTCAGCGTACAGGACCGGGGCAGAGCTAGGCCGCTCACCTAAGTCTGTGAGCAAGAAGGTCAGCCAGCGGAGCTCCTGTGCCGCCATGGCACCAGCGTAGATCTCAGCCTCACAGCTAGACTGAGCCACAGACGACGAGCGAGTGGATCTCCAAGAGATAGCACCCGAACCAAGGCTGAAACAGTAGCCCTGCGACGACCTGAGCGTCTCAGCGTCGTCTGCCCAAGAAGCGTCTGTGTGCCCAGTAAGGACCACTGGCCTGCGTCCTCCTAGCACTAACCCCATGCCTGATGTACTAGCAAGATAACGCAAAACCCTCTTAGCGGCAGACCAGTGCTGAGGTCGGTGTCTGCCTGTAGCCACAAAGCGAGCCAGGATGCTGAGAGGGTATGCGAGATCTGGGCGAGTGCAAGTCATCAGGTACATGAGGCAACCCACCAGCTCTGCGTAGGGGCCACTGGGCTCTACTGGCTCCTCAGGAACGGGAGCAGAGAGCCCATGGTCTACGGGTAGAGGTGTGGGCTGTGCGGAGGAGAACTGAAGACCGAACCTCTGAAGGACCTGACGCACCAAGTGTGACTGGGTCAGAGTGATGGTGCGTGCTGCTCTGTCCCTAGAGATCTGCAGGCCAAGATAGCGACGCAGCTCTCCAAGGTCAGTGCAGGTGTGTCTCTTCAGCAGCTCAGCCTTCACAGAGGCCAGTGCGTCCCTGTCAGGAGTAGCGAAGACCAGGTCGTCTACGTAGACAAGGATGTAGAACGGAGTCTGGCCGGAACGCACAAACAGTGAAGGGTCAGCAGAGGACGGAAAGAACTGCAGGTCTGCTAACGTGGCACGTAGCGTGTCGTGCCACTCGCGGGGAGCCTGACGCAGGCCGTAGACCGGGCGCCTGAGAAGCCACTGGGTCCCAGGAGGGAAGGTACCAGTGAAGCCCTGTGGTCGGCGCAGGTAGACCTGCTCGTGTAGGCTGCCCTGAAGAAAGGCAGTAGAGAAGTCGAGAGAGTGAAGCTCGTAGTCACGCTGTGCTGCTACGTGTAGCAGCGCCCGAAGAGTGGTCATCTTCGGGGTCGGGGCGAAGGTCTGGAAGAAGTCAACCCCCTCGCGCTGACTGAAACCTCTGGCCACGTAGCGCGCCTTGAAGACAGGCGGCTCTCCAGGGGGGCGCTTCACCTTGAAGAGCCACCGACCATCGACTACGTTCACCCCAGGCGGGGGAACTGCGTCGACGTAAGTGCCGGTGGATCTCCAAGATGCCATCTCCTGCTCCATGGCAGCTATCCACTGAGAGGCCCAAGGTCCCGAGGTGGCCTCAGCGTAGGTGCGAGGGGTCGGGATGTCGAAGGCGTCTGGGTCACCCTCAGGGACTAACAGCATGGAGCAGAGATGGGGAGCAGCCTCGGAAAGGAAAGCCAGCTCGTACTGCCTGTCCTCTAGGACGTCACTGCCAAGGGCAGGAGCACCCCCGACGGACAGAGGACGGGCAGGGTCAGAGACCAGAGCGGTAGCGTAGTCAAGGCGGCGGGTAGAAGCGAAGTCAGCGACAGCAGCGACAAGCGCGTCAAGGCGCGAGACAGGAACAGCAGGGTCGGTAACAAGAGAGGCAAGGACCCGAGGGACAAGGGGACGAGCAGCACGGAGGTAGTCAGAGAACGGAGGAGGTGCAACAGCAAGGGACGAGGGAGGAGGGGACGGGAGGAGGGGAGGACGAGACGAGTGGGAACGGAGCAACATAGGGTGGGTGGGCAGGACAGGAGAGACGGGACGAGCACGGGAGGGACGGCGAGCCCAAACGTGAGACGGAGGGGTAGGGTCAGGGGACAGCGGAGGAGACACAGGAGGGGAACGAGGAGGAAGACGGGCCGGAGACGAGTCTGGCGGCGGGAACACAGGACCGTAGACAGGGAGGTCAGGAGGCGGTGGGGGAGACACCGGCGCGCGGTCCGGGGAGGGAAGGCCGAGCAGGCGGAGAGCGGAAACCGGCGGCGACGGCTGCTGTGGTGGCGACGACGGCTGGGCCGGAACTCTCGGACCAGCAGAGGCAGAACGACCGTCGGCAGAACACTCAACAGCAGCACCCCCAGAACCAACACCCCAAGAGCGAGAACCCCCTCCAACACCAGCGGCACCCCCAGAAGCCGCAGGACGAACACCCTCCTCCACACCAGCACCCCCAGGGGCCGAGAGCAGCGGCGGCAGTGGCGGCGACAGCGGCGACGGCTGCGGCGGCGACGGCGACGGCGGCTGCAGCGGGGTCGGCGACTGCGACAGTGGGGGCGGAGGCACTGGGGAAGGGGGACGCGGCAAGGACGGACCGGGGGTACCACCAGAGTCAGCAGACTCCTCAACGGGGACAACCGACGGGAGGGGAGTGACGTGGGAGACACCAGACGGGGCAGGACGAGGCGGGAGAGGGGCAGGGGCTACCGGGGGAGAGGGAGCAAGGAAAAGGGGGGGGGCAACTGGGAGACCTCGGTGAGGGAAGCGGCGGTAGAAGGAGACGGACTCGTCAAAGGTGACGTCACGAGAGTGGAGGAAGCGGTGAGACGGCGGGTGGTAGAAAAGCCAGTCAGACGAGTCCAGGGGGAAACCGAGGAAGACACAGGGGACAATGCGGGCAGTGAGCTTGTCCGTGCCAGAGGCACGAACGTGAGCAAGGCAGCCCCAGACGTGGAACGCAGACGCGTCACCGGGGGACCCGGTCCAAAGGAGGGTCGGCGAAACCTGCGGCCGCTGGGAGCGTGGCCACAGGTTAAGCTGGTGAGCCGCGTAGCGAACAGCGAACGGCCACAGAAAATGGGGGGCATCGGCATGGATCATGGAGGTACGGGCGACCTCCATGACCAAACCGATGCGGCGCTCAGCAACCCCATTCTGCTGTGGCGAGTCCGGCAACGTGTACGACTGGGTGATGCCCTCCGCACGACAGAACTGTCCAAGCCGACCAGAGGCGAACTCGCCGCCACGGTCGGAGTGGAGACACAACACGGGGAGACCGCGGTGGAGACGCGCAGCTACAACCCACGGGAGAAGAACGTCGGGCACGTCGGCCTTCCGCTCCAGGGGAAACACCGTGGTGTAGCGCGTGTAGTCGTCAACGAGCACAAGGAAGTAGCGCTCACCGCGCGGTCCGGGGACGGGGGCAGGGCCCCAAACGTCCAAGTGCAGGGTCTGAAGGGGGGCAGTAGCAGGACGCAGCGAGGAGGAGTGAGGAGCACGGCGGAGCCGACCCTCGACGCAAGGCGTGCACGGTGGCGCAGTCGAGGGAGGAAGGGCAGGGAGCGACGCGGGGAGACCTAAGACAAGACCGTGCTGGGACATGTGACGCAGACGCGGGAGAGCAGGGTGACCTAAGCGGTGGTGCCAGAGAAGGGAGGGGTGAGTGAGGGACCGACACGAGCAAGCTGCAGCGACCTGGGAGGACGCACCAACCGGGGGGGAAGCGGTGTGTAGGGTAAACAGACCGGACACCGGGTCCCGGGGGAACGTCGCAAGGGGGGAACCTGAGACAGCCTCAGAACAGACAGCGAACCGCTCGTGCCCGGGGAACGTGGTGGTGACGCCGAGGTCCTGGAGACAGCCGACACCAACCAGGTTCCTGGAGAACGAGGGAACGTGGAGGCCAGTAAGGGAGCCCGAGGGAACTGCCGGACAGGGAAGGGACGTAGAACTGCGCGCGACGACCGGACCCGCAGAGGGGTCAGCGAGAGAGACAACAGCAGGTGCAGCAAGCGGCGTGAGCGTGGAACGGTCGCGGAAGAAGCAGGCAGAAGCACCAGAGTCGAGAGTGAAGGACAGCGACGCAGTGGCGGAGGCCGCGGACGGAGCCGGTGCAGCGACTAGACTAGGCAACCTAGGCAGTCCTACGCCTGTCGCAGCAGGGGAAGCTAAGCTACACAAGGGTGAAACACCTAAACTAGAGTACACATGGTAGTAAGATCCATCAACACTAGAAGCGTCAGCATACAAAGCATGCAAAGCAGCACCTATCTGATCCATGTCTAACTCAAAGATCGGCACGCCCTGGCGGAGCAGGCTGTGCCAGTCAGGGAGGTCCGGGGCCGGGCCAAAGCGACGACGAAAAAGATCGTCGAGGCGGCGGAAACAGCGGGCGGTCGGGTGCGGGCGGCGGCACAGAGTGCCGCGGAGAGGCCCGGTCTGAAGCTGGTACTGGCAGGTCACAGCACTGGAGCCGCTGGTAGACGCCAAGCTGCGCGGGCCGCCACCACGGCCACCGCCTCCGGAGGTGCCGGGCCAACCAGGCGGGAGACGAGCCCACGGCTGCGGCGGGTGCTGCTGGGACGGCGGCTGCGGCTGGGGCTGGTCCTGCTGCTGCTGGGACTGCTGCTCCTGCCCACCGGTGGTAGTCCCCTCAGGCGGACTACCGTCACCACCACCACGACCACTACCACCTGCGTCACCACCCCTACCTCCCTGGCGGCCACGGCCACCGCGACGCGAGCGCTGCTGCGGGTGGACAGCAGCAGCCGTCTCGGTAAGAGGGGTCGCCGTGGCGACCGCAGCCGAAACGTCAGTGAACGTGCACGGGGATGGGGCACAACCGTGAAAGATAGAGACTGCCGGCGCACCGCTCGACTGAGCGATAGTGCGCTGGCGAGTCTCGATCTCAGTGAGGGTGTCGACAAAGGCGGTCAGGGTGAGGTCACCCGGGTGCTGGCTAAGAAAGTGGTCGCGAGCACTAGCGAGGCGGTCTGGCAGGCGCATAGCGATAAAATAGAGCGTCATGCAGAAAGGAGGGGGGAGCGCAGTGAGCTGGGCAGCAGTGCTGGCAGTGCGATAGCGAGTCTCTAGGGCACGCAAATGATTGGCAAAATCTGCGACAGTAGGGAAGGCAGCCAGGTCTGGGAACAGCATCGGAAAGAGCAAGCGGCCAGCAGAAGCGGAGGCAGGGGTGGAATAGCGAGCAATAACGGCGTCTAAATAAGCTTTGGCCGTTTCAACAGTAGCAAAACGCGAGCGCTCAGACACAGGGAGGGCGTGACTAATAGCAACCTGAGCTACTGCATCGCGTGAGTCCCAGACCGCACAGGCTAGCGCAGCAGTAGAGAAAGCCTCACGGTCATCAGAGGAGGGGTCAGCAGGGAGGGGAGTAGGTGCAGGGGGACGGGGGAGCAAGCCATCAGCATGGACAACCAGAGAGTGGCCATCCTGGCGCTGACCTGTAAGCTGGCGGCGAAGATCGGAGAGCCAGGCGGCGAAGTCAACCGCGTGGCCCTCAGCGTCCAGGCGGAGCACAAAGTCAGCCATCGTGCAGGGTCAGCGGCACAGCTCCTCAGCGACACAGCGGCACAGCAGCACAGCTCCTCAGCGGCACAGGAGCACAGCGGCGCGGGGACACGGCGGCAGCACTCTCCAGTAGGGCAGCAGCTAGGCGTCCCAGCGCAGGCAAGCAGAAGACACAGGGCCCGAGAGGACACGGCAGGCCGAGCAGGGGAGGCGGGCAGGTGCTCTAGGGCCGGGCTGGTGCTGGGAGGGGCCAGGCTGGTGCTGCTGGGGCCGGTCGGGCACGAGGAGGGGCCGGGCAGCGCTGAGGAGAGGCCGGGCGGCGCTAGGAAGGGGCCGGGCGGCACTAGGAGGAGGCCGGGCGGCACTAGGAGGAGGCCGGGCGGCACTAGGAGGAGGCCGAGCGGCACTAGGAGGAGGCCAGGCGGGCGAGCGGTAACAGCAGGCGCGACAGGGGCCAGCGGGCGCGACGGGGCCTAAGGGGCGCGACGGGGCCCAGCGGGCACGACGGGGCCCAGGGGGGGCGCGACGGGGCCGAGGAGGCGCGACGGGGACCAGCGGGCACGACGGGGCCCAGGGGGGCCGCGACGGGGCCTAACGGGCGTGACGGGGCCCAGGGGGTCGCGACGGGGCCTAGCAGGCGCGACGGGGCCTAGGAAGCGCGAAGGGGCCCAGCGGGCGCGACGGGGCCTAGGAGGGGCGCGACGGGGCCGAACGGGCGCGACGGGGCCCAGAGGGGGGGGACGCGACGGGGCTTAGGAGGCGCGACGATGCCTAGGAGGCACGACGGGGCTCAGCGGGCTCGACGGGGCCCATGGGGGGCGCGACGGGGCCTAGGAGGCGCAACGGGGCCCAGCGGGGGCGCGTTAGGGCCTAGGGGTCGCGACGGGACCCAGTGGGCGCGACGGGGCCCAGGGGGAGCGCGACGGGGCCTAGGAGGCGCGACGGGGCCCAGCGGGCACGACGGGGCCCAGGGGGGGCGCGACGGGGCCTAACGAGCGCGACGGGGCCCAGGGGGGGCGCGACGGGGCCTAGGGGGCGCGACGGGGCCTAGGAGGCGCGACGGGCGGAAGCGGTAGGCGGGGGGATCCTAACCTAAGCGAGATACCATGTTAACGTAGAAACGAATGATTACTAGAGGTGGAAACCTAGAACAAATACTAGTTGGTTGTACTCACTAGAAGCATACCTCAGTCTAGCCTATAACTTCTACATAGATAATATGTATAAGTTGACACACCCATCTGCTGTCTTCTCCACCACTCCTCCCCGTTAGATTAGATCTTCTCCCCCTTCCCTTCCCTCCCACCTCGCCCATGACTCATGCTCCTATCTTACCGTACTCCATTTTCTAGCCTCTGCTTCTGAATATGCTCTAAGCAGAGCTTTGTTACACCTTGCGGAGGTGCTACATTTTCAAAATCACACTGTATGAAGCAAGTTTCTTATGTACACAACCATTCCAAATTGACCACCGCCACCACAATATCCCGAGTCCTGATTCCTTGCCCGGGCGTGCAGCAGCAGTGTATTGCTGTTGCCTCCTGCTCCATGGCGCATTGCATTGCCTCCTGCCCAAAACCACATTGCATTGTGCCGTGCCTGCACTGGTCGTTTCAACGCACAGCCACCCTCTGTGGCGCAACCCCCCTTGTCGACACCACCACCACCACCACCACCATTTCCCCCCTCTTCACTCCCCTCCCCATCACTACTGCCCCATTGATCCGTCCCCCTCACTCCCTCACAACTGCCCCATTGCTCCCCCTCACTCCCCACCGCTGCTGCCCCCATCCTCGTCCTCCTCGTCCTCTAGAGGGGAGAACTCGTCCCTGAGAAGCCCCTCCCTCAGCGCGTTCTGGTCCAGCGCCACGGCCGCCAACAACTTGCAGTCCACTTGACTTGACACGCCCCCCCCATCTCCCACGCAGCGCCACTCACTGCCACGCACGCCCTATCATACCACCAGTCTTCTTACTCTTCACACCCCCCTCCTTAGCCACCATGTCCCTTCCCCTTCCCCCCCTCTTCCCCCCCACCCCTCCATCCCCCACCCTCTTCCCCCTCACTCCCCACCACTACTGCCCCCATCCTCCTCCTCCAGAGGGGGGAACTCGTCCATAAGCAGCCCTTCTCTCAGCGCGTTCTGGTACAGCGCCACGGCCGCCAGCACCTTGCAGTCCGCTGACTGGCGCCAGATGCTGCTGAGCGGCCGCACGTGCACCTTGATCAACTCGCCCTCGTGCCGCAGACCCGTCTGCCGGCCCTGTAGCCTTGCGATGCGCTGGGATGGGAGGGGGGTGTGAAGAGAGGGGAAAGTGATGGGAGCGAGGGATGGCAGCCAGCACCTTGCAGTCCACTGACTGCCGCCAGATGCCACTCAATGGCTGCACATGCACGTTGATCAGCTCGCCCTCGTGCTGCAGGCCCGTCTGCCGGCCTTGGAGCCTGGCTATGTGCTAAATGGTCCGAGGGGGCGGGGGAGTGGTGGGGGAAAAAAGGAGGGAGGGAGGGAAGGGAGAGAGAGGAATGAAGGGGCAGGGATGGAAGGGAGGGAGGTTGCATGTTAATCACCCCGTCCTCGTGCTGCAGGTCTGTCTGCCAGCCTTGGAGCCATACTGGAGAAAAAGACCGCAATGAGCCACTAAGTTAAGAACTGGAGGTGTACGTATGTTTCGGCCGGAGCCGTCGTCTGCGCCATAGGATTACAGCCATGGAGCCTAAAGCGCTGGCGACGGCTCCAGCCGAAGCGTACGTACGCCTCCATTTCTTTCCTTAGTGACTCAACTAGTTGAGGACACACAGCTTGCTGCGTGTTGTATCCTTTAAACTCTCTGCAGAGCAGGAGGGACATGAGAATTTGGTAGTTGCGGGTGTGGGATGGATTGGTGGGAGGGAACTTACAGCAGCTGACACGGTGAGTGAGTCATGAGAGGATTGCTGAGGCGCCTCAAAAGTCATGTCATTGGAACTTACAGCAGCTGACACTGTGGCGCGGTACAGGAAGAGAAGAATGCCCTCGTCACACCCGCCCTGAGGGGACACGGGGAGAGAAAGACGGAGGGAAGAGAGGAGAGAGAAGGGGGGCGAGGAGTTACAAGGCGAAGTGTGCGAGGAGGAGACGAAAGCAATTGGTAAAAGAAGTGATAGGGGGGTGGACACTTAGAAAGATCAATTGGTTACACAAGTGGAAATGAGGTGGTGAAGGGGGGGGTTGGTGGGAGAATGGGAGGGTGGGTGTGTATGATCGATGGCAAAAGGCGAGAAGAAGAATACACAGGGTCGTATAGAAGGAGGAAAGAACCAACGCAGGAGGTGGAACAGCGTGAGTGGCAAGCACACATGATTTCTTTTTATTTTCTTTTCTTTTCTTCTTCTTCTTCTTGAAAGTTGGAGCTGCGAGCAGAGCAGAGCAGCACGCACCGGGGAAGGCAGCATCTGCTGGCCGGTGGAAGGGCCCAGGAAGGCAGTAAGGTTGATGAGGTGATCGTGGCGCACCGTGATGCCTGTCTCCTCCTTCACCTGGGATGCAGCAGTGGTGGGCGGGCGGGGCACTTGCAGGGTGGTTTCACGTTGACTGGAAGAGGTGGTTTGTGGCAGTTCTGCGAAGCAGCAAAGGGGTCGAGTCGAGCCACAGCTGTCGCTAAGGGCTGGTTGCTAAGGGCGCAGCAACGGGGCAGGAGGAGAAGGTTGCTGTGTGAGCACAGAGCAGAAAGAGGTGGAGTGGAGAGAGACAAATCACCAAAGAGCCAGAAGCAGAGAGCTGGACTCTCCAAGAAAGGAACAAGAGTCGCAATCAGAGCTGGAACGAGGCAACAAACTGCAATTGAGAGTCTGAGAACAGACCGACCGACCGACCGACCGACGGACGGACTGACCAATCAACCAACCAAGCAACCAACCAAGCAACCAACCAAGCAACCAACCAAGCAACCAACCAAGCAACCAACCAAGCAACCGACCAAGCAACCAGCCAAGCAACCAAGCAGGCAACCAAGCAAGCAAGCAACCAAGCAACCAACCTCCTTGGCCGCAGTGCCAACGAACTCGCCATGATTGCCATCCAGCATGCCAGCTGGCATCTCCAGTAGTACCCGCCCCACAGGCACCCGCGCCTGGGGGGAGAGAGAGAGGGGCGAGAGGGGGAGAGCGGGAGAGCGGGGGAGAGGGGGAGAGAAGGAGAGAGGGAGATTGATTAGGTATTGCAAGGGGATGCTGCAAACGAGTGTTGGGAGTCGGTAATCAGGGCTGATAATGGGAGGGGGCAAGAAAACGGTGACAATAGGTGTGTGGAGAGTGAGTAAGACGAATGAGTAATTGAGTGAGGGAGTAAGTGAGTGAGTGAGTGAGTGCACGAGTGAGTGAGAGAAAGAGCGGCAGCCTGCTCGGTGAGAACAACATAGACAGTGTGGGAACCCACCTGGCCGTCCCCCCCATCCCCCCCATCCCCCCCATCCCCCCCATTCCCCCCATCCCCCCCATTCCCCCCATCCCCCCCATTCCCCCCATTCCCCCCATTCCCCCCATTCCCCCCATTCCCCCCATCCCCCCCATTCCCCCATCCCCCCCATTCCCCCCATCCCCCCCATTCCCCCCATCCCCCCCTGCCAGCACTGCTTGCAGCAGCATGAAGATACACACAGTCAGTGTGAGAGAGAGAGAGAGAGAAAGAGAGACCACCTGTTCAGTGAGAACTACGTAGTCAGTGTGGGAATGCGCCTGGCCATCTCCCCCTGCCTGCACTGCTCGCAGCAGCATGAAAATGCCCACTGCAGGGCCCCGTGCAAACACTATGCCTGGGAGCTGGCTTGAGAGGGGGTGGATTGAGTGGGGTGAAGACGAAAGGAGAAAGGCGGGGGAAGAGGATATGTACGAAGGTACTCACCGCAGGGCCCTGGGCAAATACTATGCCTGGGAGCTGCATGCAGGTGAGGATAGAGGGTACGAGGAGAAGGCAGAGAAAACATGCCTCATGCCTCATGCCTCATGCCTCATGCCTCACCTTGGCGCCTGTAGCGACGTCCACCACATCCGCCTTGAACTTGACGAACCCCACCTTCTTGGACCCAAACATGTCCACGCTCTGGAAGGGCAAGGAAGCGAGGGAGGGGCAAGGAGGGAGTAGAGGACGCGGAAGGGGCAGAGATTCGAGGTAGGGGCAACGGAGAAGCGAATGCGGGGAAAAGGGAGGGAGCAGAGGGAGAGGGAGAGGCGAAGGAGAGAGAGGGTTATCGAGTTTGCAGAGAGAAAGAAGGTGGGAGATTTGAAAAGGTGAAGGAAGGAAGAATGCTTAACTCGGAGAGGTGAAGGGAGATAGTGAATGCTAACTCGGAGAGGTGAAGGGAGATAGTGAATGCTTAACTCGGAGAGGTGAAGGGAGATAGTGAATGCTTGACTTGGAGAGGTGAAGGGAGATAGTGAATGCTTAACTCGGAGAGGTGAAGGGAGATAGTGAATGCTTAACTCGGAGAGGTGAAGGGAGATAGTGAATGCTTGACTTGGAGAGGTGAAGGGAAATAGTGAATGCTTAACTCGGAGAGGTGAAGGGAGATAGTGAATGCTTAACTCGGAGAGGTGAAGGGAGATAGTGAATGCTTAACTCGGAGAGGTGAAGGGAGATAGTGAATGCTTAGCTCGGAGAGGTGAAGGGAGATAGTGAATGCTTAACTCGGAGAGGCCAAGCTCACTTGCACAGTGATCCCGTGGTGGAGAGCGCACTTGAATCAAGTCTAGTTTTGAGGCGCCTCAACTCAGAGCAAGCCTGAGAGCGCTCACCTCAACTCAGAGCAAGCAAAGAGCGCTCACCTCAACTCAGAACAAGCCTGACCTGCACAGTGATCCCATTGAGAGCGCACTTGGCGCCGTCACACCCCCCCTGCGCGCCCAGCAGCCCGTTGCCCGCCACCATCTGCTGCAGCCACGCCACGACGGGCGGCGACAGCACTGCTGCTCTGATCGGGGGGAAGAAGGGGGGACGGAAGGGTGGGGGGGGATGGGAGAGCCACTGCAGCCACGCCACGACGGGGGAAGGCAGCACTGCTGCTGTGATTGCGGAGAGAGGGAGGAGGGGAGGGACGGGGAAGGGGGGAAAGGAGGGCAGGCCGGGGTGGAGGAAGAGTGGGGGGGTGGGGGGGAGTACAGCTGCTCTGGTATGGGAGACGAGCAGGGGGAGGGGGAGAGGGAGGGGGAAGGGAGGTGTAGGGAGAGGTGTGCAGCGGAGGGGCGGTGCGAGGGGAGGGGTGAGTCATGAGCGAGAGGAGGAAGCGGGCATCATTTGAGAATGGAATAGGGGACAAGTTAGAGAGGGAGGGGAGGAAGGGAGGAGAGGAAGGGAGGGGAGGAAGGGAGGAGAGGAAGGGAGGAGAGGAAGGGAGGAGAGGAAGGGAGGAGAGGAAGGGAGGGGAGGAAGGGAGGGAGAGGAAGGGAGGAGAGGAAGGGAGGAGAGGAAGGGAGGAGAGGAAGGGAGGAGAGGAAGGGAGGAGAGGAAGGGAGGAGAGGAAGGGAGGAGAGGAAGGGAGGAGAGGAAGGGAGGAGAGGAAGGGAGGAGAGGAAGGGAGGAGAGGAAGGGGGAGGGGAGGAGGGAGGGAGGGAGAAGGGAGGAGAGGAAGGGAGGAGAGGAAGGGAGGAGAGGAAGGGAGGAGAGGAAGGGAGGAGAGGAAGGGAGGAGAGGAAGGGAGGGAGGAAGGGAGGAGAGGAAGGGAGGAGAGGAAGGGAGGAGAGGAAGGGAGGAGAGGAAGGGAGGGAGGAAGGGAGGAGAGGAAGGGGGAGAGGAAGGGAGGAGAGGAAGGGAGGAGAGGAAGGAGGAGGAGGGAGGAGAGGAAGGGAGGAGAGGAAGGGAGGAGAGGAAGGGAGGAGAGGAAGGGAGGAGAGGAAGGGAGGAGAGGAAGGGAGGGAGGAGGAGAAGGAAGGGAGGAGAGGAAGGGAGGAGAGGAAGGGAGGAGAGGAAGGGAGGAGAGGAAGGGAGGAGAGGAAGGGAGGAGAGGAAGGGAGGAGAGGAAGGGAGGAGAGGAAGGGAGGAGAGGAAGGGAGGAGAGGAAGGGAGGAGAGGAAGGGAGGAGAGGAAGGGAGGAGAGGAAGGGAGGAGAGGAAGGAGGAGAGGAAGGGAGGAGAGGAAGGAGGAGAGGAAGGGAGAGAGGAAGGGAGGAGAGGAAGGGAGGAGAGGAGGAGGAGAGGAAGGGAGGAGAGGAAGGGAGGAGAGGAAGGAGGAAGGAGGGAGGAGAGGAAGGAGGAGAGGAAGGGAGGAGAGGAGGGGAGAGGAAGGGAGGAGAGGAGGGAGGAGAGGAGGAGAAGGGGAGGAGGGGAGAGGAAGGGAGGAGAGGAAGGGAGGAGAGGAAGGGAGGAGAGGAAGGGAGGAGAGGAAGGGAAGGGAGGAGAGGAAGGAGAGAGAAGGAGGAGAGGAAGGGGGAGGAGAGGAAGGAGGAGAGAAAGGGAGGAGGGGAA